CCTACTACTTACTTCGTACTTTACCTTTCCTTCGGTAGTAGGTACGACGTAGTAACGTACTACGTACCTACACTATCGTCTCTCTCTCTCTCTCTCTCTCTCTCTCTCTCTCTCTCTCCCTCTCCCTCTCCCTCTCCCTCTCCCTCTCTTTGACACACACACACACACTCACTCACTCACACACATACACAAAGGGCACATATAAGCTTGTAGTTGACTCATTTCTCAATTCTCCTACGTAAGAGTTTTTTGCATTTGTTCAGGCAATGATTGTTAGAGGTTTCAGAGGAAACAGCAACAACCACAAGATTTACTTACCAAATTCATCCATTGGAATGTTAGATGTTGTATCCATTATTAGCCTCCTCAGCTTAATAGTCGCTGCCTATTTATCCGAATCTTTATTGATATGATCCTTGAACATGGTAAGCCACTGCTCATCCCTCTGTTCCATTTTGTAGTTTATAGTGAACTGGCTTTGTTCTTATTTCTTTGTATTTTACCTGCTGGTCATGTTGCATTCATCTCTCTGTCTCTCTGTCATATTATTAGAACTGTTCTCTATTTATATTTCCTCATTTAACTTCTCTGCCTTGGCAGTTGCTAAGAAGATTGATGAAGAGTGATAAAGGTGGACCAATTGATGAGATAATCCCACTGTTTGATGTCATCATGCATGTACACATGAATGTATAATGTTTGTACATATTGCATGCATTGCATTTATTTGACAAAAATTGTTTCCTTTGCCCTTTCATGGATGCATCTGGGGTTTCTCCATGGACGAACTGGAATAGTGCCAAATAGTATCATGGTTACAACATTCAGATATGACACTTTAGATATTTTGACACTTTTTGTAAACCAGTTTTCTTTTTGTAAACCATTTTTTGTTAAAAGCTCAGTTATAAAGTACTTCAATGTCATCTAAAATCCCATCTTCCCCTTTCTAAATATTGTACAGATCTGCCGTGTTCGAAAAATCAATTTTAGAGTTGGTATTTCTGGAACTTGTGGTCGTGTCAAACACAGATACACCCACATTGGCCAATTTCTTTCTTTTTTAATGTTAACAAAATTGTTGTTATAACTAGATTTTTTGAGAGTTTGCGGATTTCTTATTCCACCTCTCCCCATATGAGAAAAGACAATTCACAGCATTCTGTTTGTTGAGCTTGTTTGGGCATGCATGATTTTTCTATGCTTTGAATATAATATTAAAAATTGGTGGATGCCTTTAAAATAAAATATATTACGTCTCTGTGTTTTACAAGTAAAACAGAAGTTGTAATGGGCTTTACCCTGGTGATTTGAGTGTGATTTGTTCACTGATATAAGGATTGAGGTGTCCCAAATTTGGCAAGGTAATTGATATTTTAATTTACAGAAAGTGGTGGACATGGAAATTATCTATTCAATATTTTCTGTTCTTTTTCTTTTTCGAGTAGCAATGACTTGAGAGTTATCTTTTCACCCCAAATTATAGTTATTAAAATCGCAATGGATTGGACTGGTCGGTCTGACCGGTTTTACTGTTGATTAGTGTTTTAGGAGGTCTAATCCAAAACAAAAGTTGGGTTTGTTGGAAAACTGGTTAAAATTAATGTTAGATTAGTTTTAGCCTGTCATACCATCTAGTTTTTATCAACTAACTAAATAAATTTGGGTGAATTTATTGTTATATTTTATACTTTTAACTATTACATCTGTGTTTTCTTTTTAAACTTTTAAATCCGGTTCTACTAGTTGGACCGACAAACCGACTTTTTTAACTAAATTAAACCCCTGTTGTCGGTTTAGTTCCAAATCAATCTCGATAGTATAGTCATATTTGGCTACCAGGCTCTTCTTCCTTTCTAATGCTCAGAGCGAAGAGAATCCCATCTAAACGTTCTATGGGTGAATAAACGCATCTAACAGTGGTGTATGGTATGTGGTGTATACGCATGCTATACTATGTTTTGATCTCCACCGCCTAATGTCAAAGATGGTCCATTTAAATAGATATCCTTAGTTGACGACTTCGAACTTTCCGTATTTTTTGTTGAGTCATTAGTCTTAAGGGAAAGGTTTTTATACTCCCCATCCAGCTGTCTGATTTAGACCAAGCGAGCATATAATATTTCATAGTATTTTATTTTAAATTTTTTATACAAATTATATATATATATATATATATATATATATATATATATGAAATTTGGTATGTGCCAATTATTTCAATAGGGCACACCTAAACAAATGTTGTTGATAAAAATACAATAATAAAAAATACCGTTGAAACTCATTTGGTCATTACATTTATTAGAAATATTTGTTTTATATTTCTTGCCGGTGCAAATTTCATAGAGGAGTGGATGTCGAAATTTTAGTGTCAAAATGTTTTGTAGAAAAAAATTAAAAATAAAATAGTGTAAAGGCATGACATTGTGATTGGGGTCATTTGAGCTGTCCATTCAAAATGGACTGTTGGATAGGGGGAAGTATATAAGTTGTATACAGTAAAAAAAGTAAAAATTCCCAATATCTCTTCAGAGGCTTTATATTAAAAAAAAAAAGAAAAAAAGAAGAAGTAAGATGGAATTTAAAACCCCACCAATCTCACCAAACCTCTTTTTCCTCTAATTAAGAAATTTGAAGTTTTAGAGATGGGGTATATCTCTTGGGTACAAAAACTTTTGAAAGTGCTGGTTTAGATATGATTTTGAGGCTCTGTAATTTTATTTTTTTTCATATCAATAATTGTCCAGTCAAGATGTTTAATTTCATAAATTTTCAGCATACGAAGTGCGGACTACATTTGTTGTTGGGGTTTTGAACCCCCCGATTCGTTGGGGCAGCCGGTTTCAAATATTTTACAAGATCCGGATTGGCATGACCTATTTAAATCACCAAATTTAAACACTACGTTTGTCAATTCTCAAGTGCTCGTGAATATGCCATATTTGCGAATTCATTGAGCCTTACATTTCAGAATTAGGGTTAGAAATAGATTTTCAAGCTATCATAATGTCTATATACCACAACAGCATTCTCGTGTTTGGAGATGCAGCTCTACTTTTTTTTTCCCCGATAATACCGCCATATAGAAATCGCACACTAAAAAGAAAAACCCGAGAAATCATTCTATAGAAATCTAAATATCTCAGCAATGTAGGTTCCACAAAAGGAAATTAAACCAAAAAAGGGACATCATATATGAACACGGTTTCTCTGTGGCCAGCCTGCATATTGTAGAAATGCAAGCTTGTCCATAAATATGTTTTTTAAATATAATTTGATCCTAATTTTTAGAGAATATATATAATCTTCAACATGGAGATCATGAAAAAAAAACAAAAAATAGGAAATTGAAAATAGTAATTATTAAAAAAAACATTTGGATCGTTAGTTAGTTACACTGGTTTTTAGAGGGGCCACCTATTTGCATCCATCTTTAAGATAGATGCTTTATACCTCCGGACCACATATTGTAGAAATGCAGTCTAGCCCGTATGAAACAATTTTTCATTATATATAGAAAAAGGTTAAACAATTTTTCATTATATATCGAAAAAGGTTATGTTACTAACATGTTTACTTTCATCTAAGTAATGTATTTGGGTAATTCCTACTCAGCCATATACGAATGGTTCAGTGATTATACTTGGAAGGAGTATAGTGGTAGGTGCTCATAATGGCCATCCTCAACCAATAACAAGAACCATGCTGAAAATATATATTTAGAAATAGAAAATACAATTCAAGGGGTCAAAACCGCTTGCAAAATCATTGAAAGGATCAATGCACTGCTCACTTGAGTCTCAAATACGAAACATATATGTATTGATGTTGCCAAACGGTCCTCGTCAATGGATACAAGAGTAGTTGCATTTTTATAAGGAAAAGGTTTACGTAAGGTTGACACTTTAAATTGTAGTGTTAAGATGTACGTAAACAATTCCTTTGAAAAATGGCTATTTTGATGTTGGAAAACCATTTAATTTATCATCTCGATATCAAAATGTATAGATATGAAAAATATATATATTTTAAATCTAAAAAATAGTACATCTAACAACATATTATTTGAATTGTCTATTTTGTAGATTTCCATTTGGTTATATATTTGCTTGATTTGAACCTTTTTTTCAAGTTTAAAAAAGATAAAAACAGATTCTCGAGCCATCCTAAAAAAAATCATACTAAAATCTTATGATAAATTTTGGAGGTGTTAATTTGATTTTTTAAGGTTGCAACCGTATGCAATCCACACCCTTCTTATAAGCAACGTTGACAAGGAAAAGAAAGGGAAAAAAGAGTTTCCAATGGTTATGGTGAAAATAAAATAAAATCATCAACTTGTTTTGGTGTTTGGTGTTGGAGTTATTTTTCTTTTTGTACATTCACAAGGAGTAGACTTTAGCTCCTGGGTATTTTGCCCCTAAGTTGGGTTTGGAATTAGCAGCGATGTAAACATGGTTATACTAAGCCCACCTACTCCAATGTGGGCTTGACATCTGCCCAAACCTGGGCCAAGCCTCAACCATAGCGGCCTAGTCCCAGGCCTCACTCGGGGCCCTTAGCCTAGTTCAGGCCAGGCAATAATGCATATAATTAGAGCATCAATTTCATATGAAACAATCACAATCACCTTAGGCCGTTACATGTGGAATTGGGTAGCTACGACGTACTAGTGGTGTGCTTAAAGAAAAAATTTGGGGGAATGTACGAAATGGTATACTCTAAACCATTGAATTTCACATTGGGCTTAGGGGTGTTTGTGATCGTTTTGTATACAACAGAAGGGATCACATTGAATACTTTTCTTTATTTTCTATCACGACAGAAGGGTGAGGTTTGTATAATGTGCATAGCTTATACTATATAAACTAAGGTACATCGCTAAATTTTGTCAGAAACTATAGTTCTGATGTAGGAAACCTTATAATTGTTCGAAATTTCATGTTCAGCTCTAGTTATAAAATTTAAAATTTAAAAAACTATGCAAATTGAACATATTTTCTCGAAAATCTTAAAAATAAATGGTCCAAATAATTTGTCATAAAAAATATCATTATGAGGACTTGAAATTCATTCTTCTTTAATATTAATACATATTGAGTTCAAGATGATCTATTGAAAGGTTTCCAACAACTTAGAAGCATTCTTTTGTGGTGGATTTTTAAATAAAGGGTTGCAACCTTGTATAAACTTTTTCCCACCAAAAAGATGGCGGCGATATTATTTTTTACCACCATTTATTTTTACGGCGGCGCGCACTTGTGCGGAAACGCTAATCGGAAAGCTTTTACATTTGCCGCTTATTTGAAAGACCGCGCACCAGACGATAGCAAGTTTCACTTTGATCTTCGATTTCAGTGTTTTTCTTGTTCCTTGACTTTTCCATAACCTAATTAATCACGATATTTTTCATTCCATTAAAGCTTCATAATCAGTTCAAAGCGCCTGCGAGTTTTGCGTGTTTTCTCAGTTGAGTTGGATCATGTATCTTTTCTTTCTTTAGTACAATTTTCTGCTACTTCAATGTGTTCCCAATGTTGCAATAGAACAAGAGGAAACCCTATTTGATGGCTATGCCTAAAATTTTATCGCGAACCTAGGGTTTGTAACTTTTAAGGAACATGCAGTTGTCTCCATAAACGTGAATGGCCAAATCACGTAAATGGCTGTAAAACCCTAATTCTTATGTAACATCTCTCATTGAGCTAATATATTTGATGCTTGTCAAAGTAGGATTAGAAATTGCGCGGTTTTATGAATACTTGTAGACATTCTCCATTTATTTCAGGTTTAGTACAGAGTTAGATGCCATGGAGAAGTCCTCTTTATTTGCAGGTTGCCATTTTGATAGGAAGAGATTTGCAAAAGACTTTGCCAAATTCGAGGTATACATCTTTACAGCTTTTCACTGTCAAAAGTTTTTTTTTTTCAACTGCATTATTGACTTCAGATTCGTCTTATTTGGTTTTGAATGTCAAACCCTCTCCCATCAATTTCATCATGCATATTCTCATATCTAAAACTATGAAACCATCATAGTTATAACAACCAATCCCAGAGTATTACCATTTATGTGAACTCATAATTGTTTAATTATTTTCTTAGTTACTGAAGAAAGCTAAGAATCCACCTGATATGGTAGTGGAAGCATCAGAATCTGTGGATGGATGCACAGTGGGAAAGAAGAGAAAGAGGAAATCTGGTAGTAATATTTGATCTAACTTTTCTGAGTTCTTATTTTTGCGATTTAAATGACTCGTATGATGTCCTGATTTGATTTTGTGCATTACAAAAATTTTTGATAGCAATTGTCAAAGATTCAATCTGGTTGGGTTCATATCAATGATTTTTTTGTTGAGTAACTTTACAAGTTTCCTCTATTGTTGAACTTAGTTTCTTAACTCAGAAAGGTGATTTGAAACATATCTTTGATTTCTGTATTTGCATATTGATATTTTAAAGTGTGAGCAAATGCTATGTGAGGAACTGATGATCATTGATTGAAATAATAAAAAATGAAGCTTTAATAAAATTGTTATCCCCAGTGTTTAAGGAGGCCCTCCTTGGTGCCTGCGCGGCACCATGAGGCGGGCCTAGGCCCCAGGCCTGCCTATTCGTAGACGGGCGCCTAGGCTGGGGGGGGGACCTCTAGGCACCAGCTAGCACCTTGGCCCAAGGTTGTGCATGGTGCCACCTAGCCCACCTAGGCATCTAACCCAACCTGCCCAACACCCTAACACCCTGAACCCCTCCCTCAATGTTTTTGGGGTGCCTCAATCTGGAGGTGCCTTCCTAGGTGGTGCCTTTCCCCTTCTAAAACATCGGTTATTCCTACACCCCATAATACTTGGGTTTGCAATGTGTTAGATAGAGGGCCCAATATTCTTGCGCTCTTGGATGTAGTGATTCGTGGATGCTGCTTGAAGAAAAATGTCTGGGCGTCTGCAGATGGAACTAGGATGTTCATTGTTCATTGGTATCTTTTCTCGAAGTTATTTTTTGTGTGGTTTATGGTGTTTTTTTCCCTTTTATTTTGAAACAGCAAGCAGCGAGGGATTCAGGGTTTTCAAGAAACCAGAATTGGAGGAAATCAGCAAAAGCAATGACAAAAAGTCTAGCGCTTCTGAAGCTGAAGAAAAAAAAGAGCGTAACAGACAGATCGAGGTTAGAATACAGTCTTAGTTGTTGAGTGGCTGTCTTAAATGACCTAAACATCTTATGCTTTTACTGCAACAGTGTAGAGTTTTTTTTTCTGCAACGGTATAGAATTGTTTCATGTTTTTACACATTATTAATTACACCCCACATCTATAGTTGACTGGCATGCCACCCTATGGGGAAATAAGTGCTAATTTTAAGCATATATTTTCTTTATGCTTTCTATTATACTTCACAAATGCTATTCTCATGTTGGGTGCCATGGGATCCTGAAAGCTGTGTGTATTTGGACTTCTCTCTAACTTTAACTAGACCTCCCCATATTTGGGGAGCCTCTCTATTGCAATTAGTTGAATACGGATTCTTAACCCAATTAGTAAACAATTTTGTTGAGGAAATATACTCGTACTTCCTCATTTTCATGAATAGAATATAATTACCACTGAAAATAAGAAAAAAAGACCCTAACACATTTTAAAGGATGTAATCCTTGTTTCAGTGGAGCCTCCCCATTTTGAGTATATGATTATTGCTTGTAAAGACATGCTTGTAAAAATCAAGGTCTTTTTGTTATTTACAAAACATACTGTAGGTGTTCTTGTCATATTTAAAAGTTATGCTGTTTTTATGATGCTTAATGACATATGGATTCAGCAAGCTGCCCTGCTACGCAAGAAGTATGGAATTCATATTGCTGGGCAGACGGTTCCCTCTCCACTTCAAAATTTTGAGGAGTTGAGGTTAAGGTATATGTCTAATGCAGTTAATATTCGACTTAATTATGCACTTATGCTTGAATTTCATTAGTTCAATTAGTTAATATTACAATGTTATATTGTTCTCCTTTTATTTGGACAATGCTTTCTCCTTTTATTTTAACTTGCTGCTGAGTGCTGAACTTGTATTCAGAAAGAATGAGGAACTTGTTTGAGTTTTAAAATATTATTTTAAAGATGTCTCGCCTATTCAAGTCTGTTAAGAATCTTGAGTGTGGAAGTATTCTTCCTTTCCTCTTCTGCATAGTGTTGAATTCATATAGCCACTACATGATTTCCTGGCCAAATTGCAATTTTGACCTATTTGAAAATTTTCACCAGCGAGTTGACCTCAATGGGTGTTTGATTCACTTATTGGATATTGGTTTCCAGCTGTAATTGGGATCCCAGATTGATTTTTTGCAAAGTTACTCCAAGATGTTTTGCAAAATATTCATTTTGGCTCTTTCTCTCTGACCCGCCCCTACCCCTCTATAAACCACTTCCCTCACCCTTGCCACTACAACACCACCACCGCCAATATCACCCCCTAGCCACCACTACTCTTCCACCTTCACCGCAGCCTAGCCACCACTACTCCACCACCCACTCCACCACTTCCATTGTCACCGCACCCTAGCCACCACCACCACCGCCTGGCTGCCACCACCTCCTACCCACTGCTGCCACCACCGTCAACACCACCTCATATCCGCTGCCGCCACCACCTTGGCATCACCACCACCACTCTACTAAACCACTCAACTATCACCATCACTACCACCACCATCACACCAATAATAACAATTTATAATTCAAATTGTAACAATCAAACAGTCATTGAAAGCAAATGATAATCAACCAAATTGTTGTTTGGTTAATTGCAATTTGAAAAAATACACCATTTGACAAAATTTTGTAAACAAACAGTTCCATAGTTGCTTAGGTACATTATAACCACTCAATTATAAATATGGACCCCAAAAAAATAAGTGCATTTCTTGTGTCCTCCTTCATCAATATCTTATCTAATTGTGTCGTTCCCGAAGAACCTAATGTCTTTTTGATGTGACCCAAGTATCCACCTATACTGGTGGTTGAGTAGCTATGAGGCTCTCATGGCTTAATTGAATATTGTCTTTTATCAATATCTAACCTTTTGTGCTGTCGATTCATTTATACAAACATGTATTCTTAATGAATATATTGATATTGCTCATATGAGAGTCATAACAGTGTTTTCAAACTTGGCTCGGCCTTTGAAGTTGGGCCCTAGTCTGGTTGGTTACTTGCAGGAGTCTGAGTTGACTCGCCCAGCCTGCGCCGTGTTTGCAAAGAGCTGAAGAAAAGCTGAAAAATGAGAAATATCGAAAAAATCAGTAAAATGAGTAGAAAATAATAGAATCAGTGTATCAAAAAGCGCTAGGCGGGTCCTAAGCAACCTGGGGGGTCCAGGCCACCCAACGCCTAGGCAGGTGCCCAGAATCTGAACGGCTGCCCAGTTGAAAAAAGTAAAAAACATACCAAATTATCAATATACCATATTCCAAGTTGAGAAAAAAAAAGATAGACGTCGAGAAGAGAATTTTGGTAATCCATATTGTTAAAACAATAAATTGTAAGCCATACAACTCTCAACACAACAGAAATATACAGAAATTTAGAAAAGGGCAAGCTTTCTATGCTTCCCCTACAGCATAGAAGTTCTATCCTCCCCCTTATCCAACCATCTATTCTGAATGGAGGGCTAAGATTGCCCCAATCACAATGTCATGTCTCTACACTATTTTATTTTTATTTTTTTTCTATAAACTATTTTGACACCAAATTTTGGACATCCATTCCTCTATTAAACTCGCACTAGCGAAAAATATAAAAAAAATATTTTCAATAAAATAAAATGATCAAAATACGCCTGAAGGTTTCAAGGGTTATTTTGGTCGTTATATTTTATCGAAAAATTATTTTTAATATTTTTTATAGGTGCGCCCCAATGAGAAGATGGCATGTACCAAATTTCATATTCATACAATTTGTATAAAAAAAACTAAAAATAAAATACTTTGAGACGTTGGATCTAAGGTCAAACGGTGAGTGGCTCTCTTGATCAAAATTAGATGGCTGGATGGTAAGGGGAGGATAGAACTTCTATATTGTAGGGGAAGCATATAAACCTTTCCCTTTAGAAAATATACAGTCTAACAAAAGTCAACACTCATGACTCAACACAACAATCAATAGACTCAACACTCAACACTTAGCACCAAGAGGCAAGAGTCTTCAGTTGTCATTATCATCATCATCATCATCATCATCAGTTATCAATATGGCAAACCTCATCATATGCATCAGAGTTGAGGCTATCATCATCAGAGTCATTTCCCTCTTCAATATAACGCTCGTCCTCCTCTGTTTCTTCTAAATCTGCCTCTTCCTCCTCCTTTTTTTCTACCTTCCTCTTACTAGTATGTGCAGTCTGTGCAGATGAGGTCCTAGGAGTCTTGATTGCTCTATCCTTTTTTTTATATTTTTCTAAACTCAAATATTGTATAATTTCCTCCTTGGTAGCCTCAGGAACATTTTTACATGGGGCAACATCCCCCTTAATACCGGCAAGGTATTTTTTAAACCGGTAATGCCCCCATTAGTATCATTTCCATAATAATTTCATTTAATATGATTTTTATCACTTGGATTCGGGTTATAACCATACTTCCAACCCGGATCACCACTCTGACTAGAACCTGGAGAAGATACTTCTATAGAACAAGGCTTATTTTCATTATTTTTTGGTTCTTCAAAATTCAGAAAATGCCTAATCTCATCCCGAACTGCTTCAAGAACCATTGTACAAGAAGCAACATTACCTCTAATGTTAGCACGGTGTTTTTTGAATCAGCTAATACCCCCATTGGTATTTTTTTCACAAAAATTACTCTTTATACAATTTTGATCATTTAGTTTTGGGTTGTATCCATACTTCCAACCTGGATCACTTCTTTTAGAAGTAGTAGAAATAGAAATAGATCTATGACAAGGATTTTGTTGTTGTTTTTGTTTTACGTAACTTATAAATTGTTTAATCTCCTCTCTGATAGCTTCAGGAACATTTTTACAAAAGGCAATATCCCCCTTAATATCGGCAAGATGTATCTTAAACTGGTTTATGCTTGCTTTTGTATCTTTTTCACAAAAATTGCATCTATAATTTTTGTCATTTGGATTCGGGTTGTATCCATAATTCCAATCACTCCGACTAACTCCTGAAGAAGACATCTCAAAATAAAACAAGCAATCTAAAAAATGCACTTACTTTGGTTGCTCGAACTTCAAACTTTGAGAAACGCTTCAATGATTCGATCCAATGAAATGTAGTTTTTTGGTAGTTTCTTTCTCTCTAAAAGGGGTTCTTGTGGGTTTAGGTTTCAAATGAACCTAAAACCCATCATTCTAAACATTTATATCTTGAAAAAAAAAAAAAAAAAAGTACTTTTCTGCCTTTGGGCGGGGTGCAGGCCCTGGTCCCTAGGGCTGGGTGTTGGGCGGCCGCCTAGGCGGGTTCCGTACCGCCTATGCGGCCGCCCAGAGACCACCGCCTATCGCCCAGGCCTTTTGGACCGCCTAGGTGCTGGGCGGTCCCTTTTTTTGAACAATGAAAAGAATGATGAACAACAAAAAAAGTATACTGAAGATGGAAAGTAATTCTTGATCAAACTTTAAAAAAAAAAAAAAAAACATGCTTGATCAAGTAATACTATTGAAGAATAAAGCATATGAATTTTAATGTTTTTTTAAAAAGAAACTTCTGAAGACTTTCAAGCAAAACTCTTGGTTTTTTGATCTTCATGCTCGATGAAAATCGACACCACCAATTCTTGTCGAAGTTTCCTCAGACAAGCCCAATTGAAACCCTCAGAGTAGTTTTAAGTTTCAATTTTAGATTAGGAGATCTGAGTCTCTTAAGATTTTTCAGCTGAATAGTGAATCCAACACTCAAAAATCTAATCGTGTTTCTCTTTTTGTGTGAAATAAGCCTATGATTGGACGACAACCCAAAAAATAGGTGGAGGGACCAAATATCATCGAATATCAACCATCCATTGCAAAGAAGTCACATGTTTTTGCATCGGGCAAAACCCAGGCCAGAATTTTGATCTCTTAAATCCATCAAATTTGATTTTTCTCAAATATGATCTATCTGGTGGACAGATCATGCAAAAATAAGTCTATGGATGAAATTTGAGGTCAGATCAGGCTCTTTAGAGGCTCTAGGGTTAAAAATGGTGAAAGAAAGGGGGCTGAATTTCTGCCTGCCTTTTTAAACTCACATGTACATACTCGGGCAAGTGTACATTCTTAACCATATATACTCCCCTTTTGGGTGTTTTTTTTTTGGGGGGTGGGCTTAGGTATGGGTTGGCCGTTTAACAGTTAGATACTATAAGATGTTTGACATCTTTGAATATTGAACGGATCAAGGACTATGTGGAGCATTAGTTTTTCTCATGAGATAAGGTTTCCTGAAATTAGGTTTGCAAGTTGCATCCATATAGGATGTTGTTGCCACAATTTTTTGTATAAAATAGAATATGAGATTTTAATTTCTCAGGTGTTGGGACTCGTGCATTTTAGGTACTTGAGGTTCTCTTGATTTATGTTCATGATGTTTAGATTTTATGAGCTCATCGAAATGTTTAAATCTGGTATTTCTTTATATTTGAAATAGGTATCGCTGCAGATTATATCTAATGCGCAATTTAGAGAAGCTTGGATTTAGCGAACCAACGCCTATCCAAAGACAGGCGATCCCAGTCCTCCTCTCTGTATGAAATTCAATTAAGCTGTTTCCTTTAATTTAATTTTTCCTTGCATATCTGCTGCAATGCTTTTGTAGCTGTTTTGAATGCTTTATTGAAACAAAACTACAACATGCAGGTCATTATGTATCATTCTGGGTTTTGATGTTGTGTCCTTAGTTGTATAATTCTTAGTTCTAATTTATGTTAGGGACGTGAATGTTTCGCTTGTGCACCAACTGGTTCAGGAAAGACTTTGGCTTTTGTACTTCCAATTCTCATGAAATTAAAGGTATCTTTGTATCTTTTTCACTAACTGTTTTCCATTTATGTCTATTGTGGCCTTCATTATTTTTATTTTTTGTATTCAGCGTGCATCAAGGGATGGGACTCGAGCTATAATAATTTGCCCTACAAAGGAGTTAGCAGTTCAGACAACAAGAGAATGCAAGAAGTTGGCTAAAGGAAGAAAGTTTTTCATCAGATTAATGACTAGAGCTCTATCGAGATGTGCAGATTTTGAGAAAATGCCTTGTGATATCCTTGTCTCCACCCCACTCCGCTTACAAAAATCCCTTGTGAAGAGGAAGCTCGATCTAAGCAGGTACAAGTATATATATATATATATATATATTAAATGATTTTGTCCTTGATGACTATCTTGTCTTTTTGAAATAATTGGCTGTTTCCAACATTAGCAGCACTATTTTCTTTATCTTCGGTAACATGTTATAAACGACAGCGAGGCTTAGTCTCAGATCCCTTTTTTTTCTGTAATGAGCAATGACATGTGCTATTTTCTTATTAAGCATAAAAACAGATTCAAACACTAGTCAACCTGTTGTGGAGGATCGGAGTTTTGTGCACAATTTAGTTACCTTTCATGAATCCATTAGCCTCTGAACTTGTTTATGAATGACAAGCGTCTCCTCTTGTACTTGTAAAAGTATGTAAAATGCATTTATCAGGTTTGAGAAATTTCTTATACCGGTGCTCGTCATGTTTCAGAGGTACACTCATTACTTTTGCATCGGATCTCTCCTGTAATTTAATGTAGTTATCCTATGTTATTTTCTTACTTCCAAGTGGTATTTTTGGCATTTATAGAAAGGAATAAATAGGGATGCAACCAATTGAGATATCTGGGAACGATATTTCATTATCTCAACGAAGGGACCCTTATTCTAGAATTCTTATTCTTTCTAGTTCTAGGGCCAAGACAAGCAAGGACTAAAGAATAGGTTTCATCATTGATTTTGATTGCAATAATATATCAATAAATTATCTGTATCTTTTAGCACTTATCCTTATATTAAAGGAATCTAAAATAGACTGCATCATCAGGGCAACTTTTCTGTGTTGATTGAAATTTTTGTTCGTAACTGCTCAATAGAGATAGTTGATTGCCTATTGCTTGGATTTGTAGTACGGTTTCAGACTAGTGCCTGAATCTGTTGAGATGCTATTGTACTTGGAAGGCAATGCTTATTCAAAATGATAGAAAAACATAAAAGTTCTGGAAAAGACTTTCCTGCTATTAATTATTGTTCCTTATGTGATAATTTCTCCAGGGTGGAGTACCTTGTGTTGGATGAATCAGATAAGCTATTTGAGCTTGGTTTCATGGAACAAATCGATTCAGTGGTTAAAGCATGTTCAAATCCTAGGATTGTTCGTTGTTTATTCAGTGCTACTTTACCGGAATCTGTTGAAGAGCTTGCACGAACTATAATGCATGATGCAATTCGAATAATTGTTGGTAGGAAGTGAGTGATACCATTTATCCACGAGTAGTTGATGCTCTTTGTAGTTAACTGACTTTTTCTTCTGTCCTGATCATCTATTTTATACTAAGAACTTATCACATTTGGACAGGAATTGTGCTTCAGACTTGATAAAGCAGAGATTGGTTTTTGCTGGGAGTGAAGAAGGAAAGCTACTTGCACTTCGCCAAACATTTGCACATGTAGGCTACTGATCTGAAATTTATCTGGAATGTGGAGTAGACTGCTATTTAGCATCGGGTTTGTCTAAGCCGAAGCCTAATTGGCCCCCAATACAAATTCTAACAAACTTAAGTTGTGCGGAATTTGACACATTTTTTTGGGGGAAAAAAATAGCACTTTGCTACCGAATAAGAATCTGGACTTGGTTTCCTCTTCTATGACTAAGAGTCATGGATTCATGATGGCTGGGTTTTGTGAACAAATTTGAGCCTGGATAATTTGCTCTTTACTCTTCTACTATTGTACTCTATAGACTGGAAAAGGCTGAATTTCCTGCATTTCTTCAGCAAAAATAAGCGGATTTGAAGCTATTATGTCCTTGGGTTTCCTGCTGTGGTCTAGGAACACTAGGAACTAGGACCTAATGGTGGAAAAGGTTGGAGAAAGTGACAAATTAGGAAAGAGAGGTCTTCACTGGGGCAGAGAGAAATTGCAATTTAGGCACCTCTCACTAGCCCTCAGGGTTTCCTTACTGTTTTTTTTTTCTCCTCTAGTGTTCTTCTTCTGGCATAAGTTACTTTTCCACATTTTCTTAAGATTCTACGTCAAGTGCTTCTACCTTCGATATAAAGGTTGCTTTCATTGGGGGGCCAAGGTGAATTTCATGGTATATTTAACTAGTCAAGTTTTGCTATTATCAAAAGAAACCAGTTTAATTTTGAGAAATGATTTCGAAGTTTGGGTTAGGTTTAAATTTAAGAAATTCAACTTTTTTCGTCACAAAATGACTGTCGAAATCTGTCATGAAGAAGAATTGTTGGAGGGCTAGAGCTGGGCGATTTAGTTTGGAACTGAAGATGGTGGGAAAAGAATTAGTTAGAATCCCCAAGGGTGTCCATTGAATCTGTGGTGTCACACCAAGGAGAATCTGACTGTCGAATTAGGAGGTGGTTCCATCTTCACACGTGTGTTTCCGTAGTAGATTTCCAATCCTAAGTACTAAACCAAGATGTTAAACCTTATTCTCGTATTGAGATTTCCAAATTAGGATTTCTTGTTGAAGACATGGATTGATTATTTTGCCTACTTGAAAGATCCTACAGCTGAGTTGAGCATTGGGAACTATTGCTGATTTTTCTTGCTAGGTGCAGATTTAGGAATTTTCTTTTTGCTGATATAACAGGACAATGGTTATTTTAATTTTAATTGCGTAGCTGTCTTGCAGTTCTATTAAGAATTATTCAACAGGAGGCCCCTTTTAGCATAGTTAGCTCTAATCAAATACTGCTAATATTTATATTCTTGTCTAGAGTACTCCACTATTTTGTTTACATAAACTTGATGATTACTTGCTCTCCCTGTTCAGTGTTTTTAACTTAATCAATTTATTTGCAATGTGGAACTTATATGTGTTGAAGGTATATTCATGCTATACATTCTTATGAGCTGCTTTGCCTTGCATGACATTTCATGCATGCTGGCTCATTGTTTGTATGATGTGTTTTTGTGAATTTATCAGCAATTCTGTGCCCTCTACACTGCTTTTGAAGTGCATGAGCAAAGCTAGTTCCCCTTCTAGTTTGCCTTGCTCCACACTGTCTCATGTGTATTTAAAGCCTCGGGTAAATAAAGTTTTATTTTCTTGACAGAGTCTGAATCCTCCGATCCTTGTGTTCGTTCAAAGTAAGGAGCGTGCAATTGAGCTCTACAAGGAACTTGAAAATCTGAATGTCAGAGCTGGTGTTATCCATGCCGATCTCACTGAGACAGAGGTATGCTTTATTAACCACTTCTTCATGAATTATCCCTGGATTGATGCTTAAATTAATTGGTCTTCAATAATATAGCTAACGATAAATCATGTTTCATGAAGTTCTAGTTTCTGTAGACTGGATGATTAGTATTAAGTTCTTTGAATTGTAACAAATAAACAAAGGGGAGGCTATCATGACCTACATGAAACAAAGTTCTGGACGATGTTCATGTAGTGGGTAGTCACACGTTTCTAAAACGATTTGTACCATAATGTAGAAAGTTGCCATCAGATTGAACTGGTAGATCATCTGCTTTTGTTCATGAACATAATATTTATTATCTCTCTGTTCTTGCAGAGAGAAAATGCTGTCAATGGCTTTCGTGAGGGAAAGACTTGGGTCTTGATTGCAACTGATGTTATTGCTCGAGGAATGGATTTCAAAGTTGTCAACTGTGTGATCAACTATGACTTTCCCGAGTCTGCCACAACTTACATACATCGAATTGGTATGTTGAAATCACTTACACCAATATTCCACTGTTATTGTGCACCATTTCATATTTCACTGGCATAGTATCAGTCATTACCTGCCAACTGATGTCTGAAAAACTGGCAATTGGCTCCAGGAAATCTCAGGAAACTCTCATTCTATCTGTGAATGTGAGAAAGGGAATGGGAAAGCAAATTATGTAAATTGTCCCTCTAAAATAAAGGAAAAGAGGAAACCTTCTGCTTACTACCCTGCCATGTGTGTGTGGCTGAGAGAGAGAGAGAGAGAGAGAGAGGAGTCTCCCTTATGTTCAAGAAGTGAGGTGGCTGAGAGGCCTCACTGCCCCGCCCTAGGCCTATGCGGCTCAGTGCGGGGTGGTGACCCTAGATGGCTGACTAGTCACCCAAGGCATCGCCCGGGGGGGTGCCCAATGCCCAATGCCCAACGCCTGGGTGCCCTCCCAAAGCCCTTTTGGTTAGCGCAGAGATTGCCCTGGCCAAAAAGGGGGAAAAATTTAATTTTTTTCACCCTTCGGAAGGGGGAAAATAGTATTTGGGTGAATTTTGGCCCCCCAAAATCCTAAACTCTATTTGTGCCCCAAAAATTATATGTTTAGCTCAAAATCAATTATTTTTTCAAGGATCGAATTTAAATTCTAAGTTCTCAATTTTGCATTCTATTTTTGTGATTATAATACGTTTTTAGCTATGTTTTGCTATATGTCTAATTAATAATGTAAACTTCATGATGGCTTAATCAGCTGTCATGGTGGTGTGTCGTTCATGTGCATCAATGTCTGGGGTTCGAATCCCAGCTTGTTGTTAACTGACGCCGTGGACACCGCACTTCTCTCTTTCTCCCCTCCTCTCTCTCTCTCTCTCTCTCTCTCTCTCTNTCTCTCTCTCTCT